TTATACCCCGCCCTTCTCCTCATGGGACTCAGGGCGGCTAACAGCCTCATAAAAACTACAATACAAATACAATAATTAAAAGCCGAATTAAAAAGAAATATTTAAACAGGCCGATCATTAAAATTATCCTTAAAAATCCCCTAAAAAACCCCGCTAAAATTCCCTAGGCCAGACCCGCTTGTTGGAAAAGCCATGTCTTACTCCCAAAACTCCTTTACATATGGATGCATTTTAGTAGCCTGCAAAGAACCCCTGGACTCTTCTCTTATACTTATTTTGAACTGGCTTTGGTCGTTTTGCGTATTCAACTGTGGGAAGATCTAACATTTGTCCAAAGAAAGCCAAAATATAAAGTGACATCTCATTAAATCATGAGTTACTTAACCATGATTAACTGGACAAATCACAATAGGCTGCATTGATACAACATAAGCACCCGAAACCAAACACAACATCATGCTATGGCTTAGGAAGGTAACTGATCTTGCTGCTAAGTCCTATATCTTACAGACATTTCTGCTTTCTCCCCATAGTGTTTATTGTTGTTTTAGCTGGTGGTAGGATAGGAAAAAATGCTGTCTGCCTGTGGATCACAAAAAGTCCTCTTGAGAACATCTCTGTTTCCTATCCATTACCCCTCCTCCAGCCGCTGAAGTTTTACTGGGCAATGTCTATGCTTTTTCAAAATTATCTTTATAAACCATGTGGCTTAGAAGCTTCCTCTTTATAAAAATATGAAAACCAAGGTCTTTTCAGGGTATGTTTTTTTTTTTTTGGTTTCCCCAGCAAATTCCTTATCAAGACTTGCATTTGCGTGGCAAAACTTGGAGAAGCACAACACTCCTGTTTTTGTCAGGCTGGCTGCTGTATTCACCTGATGAAAGGGCATAATAAAGGGAGGGGGATAAAACCCAAGGGGATGTTGGTAGACAGCAGTAAGGCTGGAGCTCCCTTAAGAAACCGAGATTGGGTCCATAGGCTTTTGGAGGTAAACAGATGCATGATATTCAATGCATCTAGCATTTACTAGCAGTACTTTGCCCTAACATCTCAATTCACAATTGACTGTGCTCACACATAAATGTATCACTTGAACCATAAACATTTCACTTGAACCCAGCCCTTGAAATTTATAAACCAAAAGTTACAGCTTAGCATGACATGTGAACTTTGCCAGTTGTGTATATTCAGCAAATAGTGATAAAACCCAATACAGTTCTAAGTGAGTGAGGCTAGATAGTGTGTTTGTGTGCTCTACAGGTAGTCCTTGACTTACAACAGTTTAGTGACCATTCAAAGATACAACAGCACTGAAAAAAGTGACTTATGACCATTTTTCACAGTTATGACCGTTGCAGCTGTCCCATGGTCACGTGATCAAAATTCAGAGGCTTGGCAATGGACTCTCATTTATGACAGTTGCAATATCCCAGGGTCATGTGATCACCTTTTGTGACCTTCTGACAAGCAAAGTCCATGGGGAAGCCCGATTCACTTAACAACCCTGTTACTAAATTAACAACTGGCATGATTCACTTAACAAATATGGCAAGAAAGGTCGTAAAAGGTAGACATAAGCCGAGGACTACTGTATGTATGTACCATACTGCACATTTCAGATTTATAATAGCAAAATTTAAAACCACATTCTGATGACTATGATTTTGAGGAAAATGAGAAATAATAAAAACACATGTACAATATTTACTTAAGACTCAGAAATTCATAAAAGGAAATTAATAAAATTAATTAAAAAAAAACTTGTATGTAGGCTCCCTGGGTAGTTATCTATCTTTTTCCCCCTAAGCTTGTAGTTCTTTTTTCCCAACGTGTGAATCCTATTTTCTTTCTTACTATCTAGTAATCCTGTCTTTCCTGAAATAATTCCACAGTTTTGAATCTGTTATACGATACATGATTTCCTCCATTTTGGAACAAACCTGAAAGTAGTTTAAAGCAAGGGCTACTTATCTAAGCTTGTATTAAGCAGGAATTCTTTAGTGTATCTGCAGAAAAGAGAGACTGTGAAATGCATTCTCCCATTAGATACAGACAGCCCAAGTATTCTTCTCACTATATGAATGAATGAACCTTTATTATAAAAGTATAACATGTATACAGTGAGATTGGCTGAGCCTCCCTCCGTACCCCCACCACCACAACTCACATATAGAATGAGTTCTGATCTCTTAATGTCCTGTATGGATTCCCAGATTCTCTGCTGTATTTGAATCTTGTCTCTGAGGTTGCAGCATTTTCCTAGCTGAGCAGCTAATTTCATTTCAAGTTCCTTCACATTTTATTTCCTTTTCCAAGAGGTTTAGTCACTGAACATAGTCATCTGCTTTGTGGATCATCATCAAGGTAATAGAAGCAATAGCTGTTTGTTTGTTTTTAATGGACTGGCAAATTCATGTCCAGAAGTCTTGCAGATTTCCAAAGATTTTCCTTTGAAATATTACCTTTAGCTTTTGTATAGCTAATTGCACGATAGATGGATTATCTTTAAAATTAATATTAACCACAGCAGCATAGAAATGAGCAAAAACTTTCCCTCAAAGCAACCCCATTTTGTCCAAACATTCATCTGTTAGACTGTGTGGTGACTTGAAAAAATAATAGCTCCACTTTTGTGGCAAGCTATTATGCACATGATAACAGCAGTACATAGTGCATCACACACACACACGGAGAGAGAGAGAGAGAGAGAGAGAGAGAGAGAGAGAGAGAGAGACAGAGACAGAGACAGAGACAGAGACAGAGACAGAGACAGACAGAGAGAGAGAGAGAACACAAATAAATACATAGAACGAGACAGTCATGCCTCATAGGATATCAGGATATTGTTTTGTGTCATATTGATCTGTATATTTTGAACTTCTTTTCCTGGCCGACTATTCTAGATTGATATGACTGTCTTGTTCAATCTTAGGCATTTTATTTACAACAACCTTTTTCTTAATCCTATTGAATTACGTTGCTGGTTCTGGTTTGCAGGTTTTCAGTCTTTGTGTTCCAACAACCATTTCAAACTGGTTGCTCAGTTCCTGTAGCCATTTTAGGGTGGGGATCTGTTATTTTGTCCTCGCTAAAATAATGCAGACATATTAGCTCGCTTCTCCCTACCGAGAAGAGAGATTCTTTCTCGTTTGCTTGAGTGATTCTTGTCTAAGATGTCTTTCTGTCAGAATTTGTGTGGAAATAGAGAGACCTGCTCTGACATTCATTCCGTCCTCTTTCTCCTAGGCTGGTACGGGAAGTGACAGGTGTTAATGTCAACATGCGTGTTGGGATCCACAGTGGGCGTGTGCACTGTGGAGTGCTAGGACTGCGCAAATGGCAGTTTGATGTCTGGTCTAATGATGTCACCTTGGCCAATCATATGGAAGCTGGTGGCAAAGCGGGGTGAGTCAGGTCCTTCAAAGTTTGAGTGAAACAACTGTGAATTGTAATAGAAAGTAGTTCCTTTGAGACGGGAGATGGAGAAACCTTTCCTCCTAATGGCCGATGTTCCTTTGAAGAAAATTGGTTTGGAA